ATGGTGGAGGGCCAATTGCTGAAAGGCCGGAATTTATATGAAATGGATCAGAATATAGGCTGTTTATAGGCCCACGGCAATGGGAAGCTGATGCCTCAGCTGGTGGGGAATGTCTCTGTGTTTTTAACTTTTTGAAAATAACTATTAGTTATTAGTTTCAATTAAATAAATTAAATATTTTAAATTATAAATATTAACGATTATTAGTTGTTAGATATCAACTATCAACCATTAGTTGTTTCGAAAAAACCAACCCAAACAACCCAAATGCTTTTTTGCGACAAGCAAGTGTGATTAATTCAGGAGAGGGGCATGAAGCAAGCTTTGGACCCTGGTATGGTTTTTTGCTATCTGGACGATCTGGATTTTAAAGAATTGAAAGGGTTTTCAAGAACTATGATATTGATAAGGAAAGAATGTTTGAATTCATTCAAATGAGATCCTTTATGTGGGCCAAAAAACAAAAGATTAATAGGACGTGCATTATGTCATATTGACTTCTAAACTACGTTGGTTATTAGTAATGCTTGGTTATGAGATTGTATTTTGAGGATGGTTTTCTCCGTGGCATGCATAATATGAGGAGCTTTTATTTCTTGTTGCTGCATTATATATATTGGTTCAAGTACCCTTTTATCTAGTATAAAACTATTAATAAATTGCTTTGCTATTCCCACTAGGGCTGGGCATTTTTAAACCGAATCGATGGTTTATTCAAAAATTGAATCGAAAAAATGAATTTGGTTTGGTTTCAACGGTTTTTTATTTTATTTTTTTGGTTTAGTATTAACCAAATATATTTTGGTTCGGTTTCGATTGAGTCTCTCAAAAATCGAAAACCAAAAATAAGTCATCTAAAAACTAAAATTAAGATAAATATGATAAAATATGATAAAAATATGTGATAAAATATAATATATTATTAAAAAAATAATTGATTATTATTTATTTATCAAAAATCAAAACCGAATTGATTTTAAACCGATTTATTGATAATCGAACCGATTGGTTTTTGATAATTTTGGTTCGATTTCGATTCTCAAAATTAAAAAAAAATTTGGTTATTTTAAAACCAATTTCGGTTTTAACCAAAAACCGGTTTTGCCCACCCCTAATTCTCACCAAAAAAAAAAAGAGAAAAAAAAAAAAGGAAAAGAAAAGAAAAAGAGAGCTCGAATTTGATGCAAAGCAAAGGACAAAAAATGGACGCACCTGTGGAGTAGTAGGTGTCGAATCTTCTGCCTAAATTGATGAATAAAGAATAAAGGCCAAAAAGCAAAATTTATGAATCATCAATGTTTAATTATGAAATCATAGTGAAATAGTAATAGTGGTAGTAAGTAGTACAAGAATAATTCACGTAACTAA